GATGTTCAGGTGCCTATCGCTACAGGAAATCGTCTAAATTACGGCACTAAAATGTGACGATCTATATTATGTCTATTGATGATTTGAACTCGTTTGATTTACCCTTATCTTGTATCTAGAAAAGAGAAAATTACATGAGTTCAAATCTTCTCTTTCCACCTTGACAAAGATCAAAAGTTTTTACGCGGCCTTGTGGGTGGTTAATTATTTTCAGCCCTGCAGCTCCCTCTTTCCACAGAGGAATTGTCGCCAACCCATCGCGACTCTATCTCTATTCTCATAGCAAATGGTCTAACGAGTAACATTCTTTAATCTCTAAGTTCAGATTTTTACAGACAAGACCAGATATACAACATTTTATTCGTATTCCATTCGCAAGAAGGAAGTTCCACTGAGACAGATTCTTACCGAGAACCGATACCTTTGTGGAACAGACTCCCAAGTGGATGCTTCCCCGATCACAACAATCATAACAGTTTCAAGTCTAGGGTCGATCGTTGTATATTCTACATATCCTCACAATCGGGATTCACTTCCTTCTCTTACTTCAGTTTATAACACTCTACTTTAAGTGTCTCATGGGCCTTGTATTGGGTGAATTATTCAGAAAAACTATCAGGCTAAGTCGGAACTGGAACTCGGCACCCCGATTTTACATTTGGTTTGGTTTGGCTTGTTTTACGGCATATCAACACCTCAATGGGTTATTTAATACCGACAAGATTTTTATTACTGATAATATTTTGTTTTGTCAACCTTTCGACTCACATAAGCCATCTTCAGGGGTTAAGAAAATATAAGATAGAATAGTAGCTCATAATGAGAAACGTAACAAAATATAGATTATTAAAAATAACAAATGTATATTGATTTTTATTTTTTAAATTATCTTTCTTTTTTTCTTTTAGTTTATATCTCTTTGTCTTTATCTCTCTTTCTTTCCCCATCTCACTCTGGTAAACTCAAATCAAATGTTCCAAATTAATATTTTAAGATGTGGTTCAAGGCCCACTACAGGTAACATTTTTTTCTAATTGCTCTCTGTGTTTCATTCCAATATTCCCTCTGTCATGTCACTGAGCCGTTGTAGACAAAACTACGCACGAAATAAATCAGCCTATGGAAAGGAAGAAAAGAAAGAAAAATATTAAAATAAATATTGTCTGTGGGAGTGCTATGAGGTTGTTTGAAAATTAATATCTGATTATATAGTAAGCCTTTTAATTGCGTTCTAAAATATTAGTATAATAGTTACAAAAATGTATTTCCTATCATTAAAGTGTTTATTCTATATCAGTTTCTTTCAGAATTTAACTTAAAACGTTATATGCCTCTGATCGTAAACATGAAAGAAGACATGAGTTTATTTTTTGGCATGTGTTCAAGCTTGGTACTAATTTTTCTCAAACTGAGGCCAGCATTGGCAGAGAATGGTGTAAAGGATCGACTTGTAATCGGACAGTACGACGCTGGTCTCTGAAGTCCCGCAGTGGGGATACGAGTCTTGAAGATCAAATGCGGTTGACGACGTTCATCTGTAATTGGCGATCAACATATGAAAACACGAGTCGCACAAAATCCACGTGAAAGTGTCAGAGAAATGTTTTAGGTAATGGGTGTCAGCATTTCAACAATATCGGATCATGTCCAGAAAATTGGCAAAGTGAAAAAAAAAAGCGATAAATGGGTTCCACTTGAAAGGAGTGAAAGTCAAACTGTTCGACGTTTTGAACGGTGTTCGATGCTGTGTCTGCAAAATTTGATTGAATTGTGACTTGTGATGAGAAAAGGGTCCTTGATCACAATCGTAAACGATTGGTTCAAGGATTCGAATACTTCCCAAAACCGATATTGCATCAAAAGAAGGTTTTGGTGATTGTCTGATGATCCACCATTGGCGTTAACGGTTAAAACTTTCCAGAATCTAACCAGGGCATCACTGTGGAATTTTACTGTCAGTAACTGAATGAAATGCACATTCAAATAAGAAAAAATCAAGCAATGGTTAATCAATGGGGACCAATTCTGATTCAATCCTAACCATACGTGGCCAGGATAAAACTGCAGAATCTCATCGAGACTTTGCCATATTCACCATATTTTTCTAATCTCTTGCCCACTGACTAACACTTTTTCAAGTATTATGTTGCTTCTCTATTTACATTATTCGGACTATTGTCTTCATCTTTGTCGCCATATTTATTACAACGTTTCGGCCATTGTACGCTCCAGCCTTCTTCAGTTGGTTAGAATGTCGAACTGAACCGTTTATTTCGCTCAGTGCGGTAGTCTGTTCTAGTTCCACGTGCCATGTTTAATGGATGTCAGTTGTCAGTTATCTCCTGTTAATTTCCCTCTGAAAGTTCTCCACTGCCTTAACCGGGTATTGAACTCACACTCTTTGGGTACTGTCACTGGATCTTAACTAACGCCTTTATCCACGTTGCCATGTGTCCTTGAACCGACCAAGCATAGAAATGAATACAATATGGAACGAGTAATAAGGAGTGCTAGAGAAAAGCAATAATAACATTGAACATTGCAATATGAGTTCTGGTAAAAAAAAACATGTAATGAAAACAGCAAAAATTGCAATATGATCATTGATAAAAATGGTTATGAAGACATTAAGTTTATAAGTTCCAGAAATCTATACACAGATGGACACATGGCACAGTGGATAAAGGCGTTGGTTAGATCCAGTGACAGGACACAAAAAGTGTTAGTTCAATACCCAGTTAAGGCAGTGGAGAACTTGGAGAGGGAAATTAATAGGGGATAACTGATAACTGACATCCATTAAACATGGCACGTGGAACTAGAACAGTCTACCCCAGTGAGCGAAAAAAAGGGATCAGTTCCAACCACCTGAAGAAGTCTGGGGCGTACAACGGCCGAAAAGTTCTAATAAATATGGCGACAAAGATGAGGACAATAGTCCGAATAATGTAAATAGTGTACATAATACCTCATCTCAGAAATATAGACTGATATTATGTTGCTTCTATTATCGCCTTGATTGGGATGAGATGATTAAAAAGAAAATCTTTTTCTAGTGGTCTGGCTATATATGTCGAGATTTTCGATAAAACCCGAAGAAGAGTCGGTAATGTTATCAGGCTTGACCTGGCATCTCACATTGTGATGCAGCTTCCTTTTGTCTATTCTATAAATATTTTCATATCAGTTGCTCTAATGAGCTCTCCTCTTTGGTAATATATAAATTGTAATCATTTTAAATATTCACTTGGGTTTCATTTTTAAATGATGCTGATTTTATTCCGCACCTCCATAGAAAAATTGTATATACAGGAACTAGTTAGGATTTCATAGACACTTTGAGGTATTATGGTGGCTGTAGTAAGAATGCTAAGTAAGAATGTGTTGTTTTAGTGTAAGGAATGCTGTGGTGTGTTTGGGTCAGTAATCGTGGCTAGATAAGTTTAAGATAAGAATTGAACACTAGCCTTCAACCTTCAAGATAAGACAGATCGATGACAACAAAAATGTGGTACAAGTCCAAAATAGTGAGACTCTTTTGGTGCTACATTTTTTGCATCAAAACTGTAAACATTGCTCTCATCCTTGGTACATCGACCGCGTGAATTTAAGTGTAGTTTGGCAACTAAGTCTCACGATTTTATTGTTGAAATAACTAGATACAAACAGAAATTATATTCTAATAGTTTCTTTTCTTACACTTCTTGATGGGAAATCCCTTCCGATTTCTTTCTTCCCTGTTAACTACAATCTACAAAAAAATAAATGCAACATCAAACGCCAGCTTTTGTTTTCTTTAACCCTGTTTCTTTATAATCCTCATCTTTGTTCCCATATTTATTACAACGTTTCGGCCGTTGTACGCTTCGGCCTTCTTCAGGTGCTTGGAATGTCGAACTGAACCCTTTATTTCGCTCACTGGGGTAGTCTGATCTAGTTCCACGTGTCATGTTCAATGGATATCAGTTATCTCCTGTTAATTCCCCTCTGAAAGTTCTCCACTGCCTTAACCGACTATAGAACTCACAGTCTTTGGGTCCTTTCACTGGATCTAATCAACGCCTTTATCCACTGTGCAATGTGTACTTGACGAACTAGAACAGTCTATCGCAGTGAGCGAAATAAAGGGTTAAGTTCGACATTCTAGACACCTGAAGAAGGCCGGAGCGTACAACGGTCGAAACGTTGTAATAAATATGTCGGCAAAGATGAGAACAATAGTCCGAATATGTAAATAATATATATATATATATATATATATATATATATATATATATATATATATATATATATATATATATATATATATATATATTTATTAAAGACATTTTTATGTTTAACGTTGTTATTTATAGATACAAGTATTGAAGCAAATGCTCTGTTTATGATAAACAGTATTAAATAACATTTACCGGCCTGAATGTCCGAGAAATTTTCATAAAACATATTTTCGTTAAACATAAAAATGTCTTTAATAAATAAATTGTCGGACCTTGTCCATTTCTTAACATATATATATATATATATATATATATATATATATATATATATATATATATATATATTGAATAATCTTTTTTGAATACTAACAGACGTAATGCAATTTACAATCAGTAAACTCCAGCCACCAGTATATACATATAGATATACTTATCCACTAATGTTACTTTGTCATAAGTCTATATGTATGGGTCATCCGATGAGAATTGTACTTACACCTCAGAAGTGATACGGAAACGCGCCAAAATATTGAAAGTGCCTTTTCGAAACTAAGCAAAATATTAAAAAACAAGAAATTTTCGTTTGAAACACAAACAACAAAGCTCAGTTATTATGAAATATTAATCCTCTTCGCGCCGTCGCCTCCCTCTGTCTGTTCTACAAATACTTTCATGGAAATTGCTCCGAGGAGCTGCATTCGCTGGTTCCCAGACGTCATGAGTTCCAGCGCCCTTCACTGTCAAAACTCCTAAATGTAGCCGTCTCTTCTACTCTAATAGCTTCATGTCTCGCACCTCTCGCCTGTGGAGCTCCCTTCCCTTCTCCTGTTTCCCTGTGAGCTATAATCTCCAGCTATTGAAATATAATGTCAATCGACATCTCCAGTTGCCTTAATCTATCTACTACCCTCATCCTTTCTTCTATCACTCCTATCTGATCTTGCTATTTTCTGTAACCCCTTGCGTCCTAGTGGCTTCCCGCCTTGCTTGGGGTGAAACGCTTAAAAAAAAAATTACATGATGCTGGACAATTACAGATGGAGAGGAGTCTTCAGGCAAAGGTTATGTCGTTCTACATAAGGATGCTGAGAATAGAATGAAAGGAGCATATCAGAAAGAGACTGCTGAAAATTCTGGGGCATATTATGAAATAGGAAGCTGTGGAGAATTGAACACTCACAGGACATACTAGAGAGAATGAAATAATGATTTATAGTAAATGGATCAGAGAACGGGATAGTAAGAGGCCAAACATTGCTTAGTGTTGCACTGGATAGGAAGTTGTGGAGAACCATGATCGCCCAGATAAGGAAGGGACACGTCACAAATAAGAAGTAATCTGCTCGACTTGCTCGCTTGACTATGATTTCCATGAATATTTACAACTAGAAATTGCTGTCATTTTGACAATGTTTAATGAATTCTCGAGTGGATTTCGCTTTAAAAATCGCATTTTTTCTTGGGTTACATGTATTTTCCAAAATGACAATGGATTTTTTTACTGAATATTTCACGTCGAAATAAATGAAGTTTTTTGGCGTATTTCCCAAAATGACAACATTTTTTTAGAATATTTCACGTCGAAACAACAAAAAAACTTGACAACAAAAAAAAAGTTTTTTTTTCCCCCACCCATAACATAGCATTTATTTTAACTACCTTCACTCTTCGACAATGTTTATTCTTTTAAAAAGCGATGATTAAAATTGGAATAAAATATAAACATATGAAAGTGGACATATACATGTTCTTTGTTGGTGAGAATTGACAAGAAAAATAAGAAACACTATTTATTTATTAGACTGTTTATTGGAAAGGTTGGCAAAACATCAGTTACTTGCTAACTGATCTGATCTGAACTTTATAAAATGGTAAATAATAAGGATTTCTTTATAGTTCGTTCATATATTTTAATAATTTAGTAAATGTTTATAAATTTATGAATAAAATATTACTTTCATATTTATTTCTTTATAAATTGGTAAACTATAAATATTGCATTGCATTAGTTTGAATATAATTGCATTTGTCTTTAGAATGTTGTAAATATAAAATTATTCTTGTATCGTGAAATGAGATGTAACCGTGAGTTCTATGCCAATAGTTTCTTCTCTCGCACTTCTCGCTTGTGGAACACTCTTCCTGCTACTTATATCCCAGGCAACAAGGCAATGTCAATCGCTGTCTACTTAATTCGTGTTATTTTATTTCCATCTCCCATTAATAGTATATTTTTCACATATTCTCTAATACTCAGTAACCACTTACGTCCTAGTGATTTTATTGCCTCACTTGGGGTGAAATGATTATATATATATATATATATATATATATATATATATATATATATATGTGTGTGTGAAGAAGATTTCTTAGGCTAACTAAAATTCAAAAACAAGCAACTTTTGAGCAGTGGGTCAGGCTATGACATGTTTATCATGCAACCTCTAAAACTTCTGTATTAAACATTTTCAGCAAGTTAAGATTTTTTCTCATTATGATAAATTAGGTACCTCCACTAATCGACTGGGAAAAAAAAGCATCATGAAAAAGACCCTAAACTTAATAAAAACAAAATTTTATTTTCGAAATTTTTATGTCATTATTAAGAGGAAAGAACAAAGTACTTTTAAATTTTTTTCAACATTTTTTTATTTCTTTCTAAAACGTTCGAAATTTGTGTTAAAAATCTTCTTTTTTTATATTTTGTTTTTTTGTATCGACTGTGTAAGAGATCTGGTAATGGACATTTTAGCGCCACTTTTCCGGTGAAAAACGTTAATTTTGAAATTCTCGCAAAATTCAAATAATTGCCAGATTTTAATAGAACTTTTAGGACTTATTCACAAATGAATGAGTCTAGTTCGAAAATGTTATTTTTAGAAAATCTTGGTAAAATATTTTTTTACATCTATTAACCTCCCCCTTAATTAATTTCAGAAAATTTTCTAGAATTTAAAAACAACACAAAATGGTTTTATATTCGTTAAAAGCAAGACAACTTGGAGAATGTAACTCTAATTTTTTTGCTAGCCTTTCGAAAATCTTCTCCAAATCGTAAAATAAAAACTGCAATAAAGCTATTTAATTATTTAATTAGATAAGCGTTTAATTGCTTCTATAAATTATATATATTTAAGGACATTATAGTCTGAAGAAAAAAATGCGACAATTGTTATTGTTATTGTTACAAAAATTGTTTGCATTTTTCTTTTTTTAATTATAAAGTTTCGAAAATGTTTTAAAATTCTCCTAACTATTGCGTCAGTTAGGTTATAAAATAATTAAAGTGAAGTCTATATTTACTACACTAACATGGAAAAAATCAAATTTTTTTGAAATAATTAAAAATAAATTTTTATGTGTTTGAATTTTCTTTTTTTGAGTGTAGAGTTAATAAAATTGAAAGTACTATGAAAATTTAATAATAAAATAACTGTCATAATAACAATTGATAATAAAAACTGAAATGAAAAATATATTAAAAATATAAATTAATAATAATTAAATTACGATAACATTTCACAAATTAAGTAAGCTCTATCATAGTATTTCATGTTATTACATTTTAAATTTAAGAAAAATTAATAGTATTTTAAAATTTTTGTTTTTTTCGTAAAGCATTTTCGAAAGGTAAATAAAAGTCAGTAAATAGTTAATTGCTGAAAATATGTTCATTTGTAAAAATTACTAGGTATTTAGATACCAAAGAAAAATGCCTTCACTTAGATTTCATAAATATATGTCAATTCTGGTCATCCATACAAGCTGTCATCACCTTGGAACTTATCAGTACAGCAATCATCGTCTCAGAAAAACAGGACCCGTCGTTATGAAATACTTTTATATTCATTTTTATACTATAAGTAAGTAATGTTTATTTCAATTCAGATTAATTTAAACTTGATATTTTACTCAAAAAACGTGTCACAAATATATATATATTATTTTTGGAAGTTTTTTAAAACCGATAATTTTGTTTTGTTTACAAATTTCTTAAAATTAAGAAATGGCCGCTTTTAAGAGAATTTTCTTAAATTGGCCTAAAAGTTGAGATTCCGATCTATATAATTTCTACTTAAAAAACACCAGAATAGTTTACTGACTGGAAATAATAAATTTACTCTTTAGCTTTCAATTAACGCTAAAATTAAATCTTCAAGAATGCTTTTTCATTTTTAAAAATTCATTTTAAACGTTAGTTATCGAAAATTTATACCGAATTAGTGGAAATCTATGCTAAATCCACTTGAATTGTCTCCTCTGGCCATTGCTTGATAGAGACGATCATAAAAAAAACACATTTTGATAATTTTCAACAATTTTTAATAATAATAATACTAATAATAACTTCCAAAAATTTCTCGTTTTTCATATTTTAATATTTTGATGAATCTTAATTCTTCAGCCAATGATGGTGTAAGCTTATGTCGGGTTCTACGACAATAAAATATCCTTAGAAATCCCTCTGTCGCATCGTTATGAATTCTGGTCGTTATTTTAAGAAGTGGGTAGAAATGAAAAGATTCTAAATTGATAACTTTTTCCATTTAACTGAAACAAGCGTCAAACATTTTTTTTTTTTTTTTTTTTTCTTTCTTTCTTTCTTTCTTTTTTATTTCCTCTTGTTTCTTTCATTTTGTTTTCTTTCTTTCTTCCCTTATCTTCTTTTCCATTCTTTTCTTTCTCCTCTTCTTCTTTCGTCTCTTCTTTTATTCTCCTTTCTTCTCCTTTGATGTTTCTTTCTTTCTTGATTTCTTTCTTTCTTTCTTTCCTTCCTGTCTTTCTTTCTTTCTTTCTTTTTGATTTCCTCTTGTTACTTTTATTTTGTCCTCTTTCTTTCTTCCCTTATCTCCTTTTCCATTCTTTCTTTCTCCTCTCCTTCTTTCGTCTCTTCTTTCATTCTCCTTTCTACCCCTTTTCTGTTCTTTCTTTCTTGATTTCTTTCTTGATTTCTTTCTTTCTTTCCTTCCTGTCTTTCTTTCTTTCTTTCTTTCTATCTTTTAAATTTCCTCTTGTTTCTTTCATTTTGTCTTCTTTCTTTCTTCCCTTATCTCCTTTTCCATTCTTTCTTTCTCCTCTCCTTCTTTCGTCTCTTCTTTTATTCTCCTTTTTTCTCCTTTGATGTTTCTTTCTTTCTTGATTTCTTTCTTTCTTTCTTTCCTTCCTGTCTTTCTTTCTTTCTTTCTTTCTTTTTGATTTCCTCTTGTTACTTTTATTTTGTCCTCTTTCTTTCTTCCCTTATCTCCTTTTCCATTCTTTCTTTCTCCTCTCCTTCTTTCGTCTCTTCTTTCATTCTCCTTTCTACCCCTTTTCTGTTCTTTCTTTCTTGATTTCTTTCTTGATTTCTTTCTATCTTTTTAATTTCCTCTTGTTTCTTTCATTTTGTCTTCTTTCTTTCTTCCCTTATCTCCTTTTCCATTCTTTTCTTTCTTTCCTTCTTTCGTCTCTTTTCTTTTTTTCTCCTTTTTTCTCCTTTGATCCTTTTCTTTTCTTTCTTTTTTTCATTTCTTTCTTTTTTCCTTCCTGTCTTTCTTTCTTTCTTTTTTTTTTTTTCCTCTTGTTTCTTTTCATTTTTGTCTTCTTTCTTTCTTCCCTTATCTTTATTTTTCCATTTTTTCTTTCTCCTCTCCTTCTTTTTTTCTCTTCTTTTATTCTCTTTCTTTATTTTGATGTTTTTTTTTTTTTTTCTTTCTTTTCTTTCTTTCCTTCCTGTCTTTCTTTTCTTTCTTTCTTTTTTTTTTTTCTTGTTTCTTTCATTTTGTCTTCTTTCTTTCTTTTATTTCTTTCCATTCTTTTTTCTTTTCTCTTCTTTCTTTTTATTCTTTTTTCCCTTTCTTTCTTTTCTTTCTTTTATTTCTTTCTTTATTTCTTTCATTTCTGTTTTCTTTCTTTCTTTCTTTTGATTTCTTTGTTCTTTTTTATTTTGTCCTCTTTTCTTTCTTTTTCTCCTTTTTCCTTTCTTTTTCTTTTCTGTCTTTTCTTTCCTTTCATCTTTTTTCTCCTTTCTTTTTCTGTTCTTTCTTTCTTGATTTCTTTCTTGATTTCTTTTTTCTTTCTTTCCTGTCTTTCTTTCTTTTCTTTCTTTCTATCTTTTTATTTCCTCTTGTTCTTTTCTTTTTGTCTTTTTTCTTTCTTCCCTTATCTCATTTTTCCATTTTTCTTTCTTCTCCTTCTTTTCGTCTCTTTTTTATTTCCTTTTTTTTATTTTGATGTTTTTTCTTTTTTGTTTTCTTTTCTTTCTTTTTTCCTTCCTGTCTTTCTTTCTTTCTTTCTTTCTTTTTGATTTTCTTGTTACTTTTATTTTGTCCCTTTCTTTTCTTTATCTCCTTTTCCATTCTTTCTTTTCCTCTTTCTTTTTTCTCTTTCATTCTCCTTTACCCCTTTTCTTTTATTTTTTTCTTTATTTTTTTTTCTTTTCTATCTTTTTAATTTCCTCTTGTTTCTTTCATTTTGTTTTCTTTTTTTCTTTATTTTATTCCTTTCCATTTTTTTTTTCCTTTCTTCTTTTTTTCTTTTTTATTTCCTTTTTTTCTTTTGATGTCTTCTTTCTTTTTTCATTTCTTTTTCTTTCTTTCCTTCTTTCTGTCTTTTTTTTTTTTCTTTTTTTTTTCCTTTGTTTCTTTTCACTTTTGTCTTCTTTCTTTTTTTCTTTTCTCTTTTTTTTTCTTTCTTTCTCCTCTCCTTTCTTTCGTTTCTTCTTTTTATTCTCCTTTCTTTCTTTGATGTTTTTTTTTTCTTTCTTTCTTTTCTTTTCTTTCCTTTTTCTTTCTTTCTTTCTTTCTTTCTTTCTTTTCTTTCTTTTTTTTCTTTCTTTTTTTTTCCTCTTGTTTCTTTTTATCATTTTTGTCTTCTTTCTTTCTTCCTTATCTCTTTTCCATTCTTTCTTTTCTTCCTGTCCTTTCTTTCGTTTCTTCTTTTTTTCTCCTTTTTTTTTTCTTTGATGTTTCTTTCTTTTCTTGATTTCTTTCTTTTATTTCTTTCCTTCCTTTCTTTCTTTCTTTCTTTCTTTTGATTTCCTCTTTTACTTTTATTTTGTCCTCTTTTCTTTCTTTCCTTATTTTTTTCCATTCTTTCTTTTCTCCTTTTTTCGTTTTTTCTTTCTTTCTCCTTTTAAAATTTTATTTCTTTTTTTCCTTTTGTCTTTCTTTCTTTTCTTTTCTTTTCTTTCTTTTTATTTCTCTTGTTTCTTTCTTTTGTTCTTTCTTTCTTTTCTTTCTTTTATCTCCTTTTCCATTCTTTCTTTCTCCTCTCCTTCTTTTTCTTTTTTTTATTTCCTTTTTCTCCTTTGATGTTTCTTTTTTTTGATTTTCTTTCTTTCTTTTTTTCCTTCCTGTCTTTTTTCTTTTTTCTTTTTTTTTTTTTTTTTTCTTTTTTATTTTGTCCTTTTATTTCTTTCATTATTTTTTTCCTTTCTTTCTTTCTCCTCTCCTTTTCGTCTCTTCTTTCATTTTTAATTTTATTTTCATTTTTAATTTCCTTTCTTTCTTTTCATTTTTCTTCTTCTTTCTTTTATCATCTTTTTTTCCATTCTTTCATTTTTTCATCTTTTCTTTCTTTCTTTTTTTTTTATTTTCCTTTTTTCTCCTTTGATGTTTCTTTCTTTTATCATTTTCCTTTTTTCTTTCTTTTCTTTCTTTCTGTCTTTCTTTTTCTTTCATTTTTTTTTCCTTTGTTTCTTTTCACTTTTGTCTTCTTTCTTTTTCCATATCTTTTCCTTTCTTTCATTTTTCTGTCTTTTTCTTTTCGTCTTTCTTTTTTTCTCCTTTTTTCCTTTGATGTTTCTTTCTTTCTTGATTTCTTTTTCTTTTTTTCTTTCTCTTCTTTTTCTTTCTTTCTTTATTTCTTTTTCTTTTATTTCTTTCTTTATTTTGTCCTTTCTTTTCTTTATCTCCTTTTCCATTCTTTCTTTTCCTCTTCTTCTTTCTTTCTCTTCTTTTTTCTTTCTTTTTTTGATTTCTTTTGTTATTTTTTCCTTCCTGTCTTTTTTCTTTCTTTTCTTTCTTTTTAATTTCTCTTTTTTTCTTTCATTTTGTCTTCTTTTCTTTTTCCCTTTCCTTTCTTTATTTTTTCTCCTTTTTCTTTCGTTCTCACTTTTGTCCTTCTTTCTTTGATGTTTTTTCTTTCTTGATTTCTTTCTTTCTTTTCTTTCCTTCCTGTCTTTCTTTTTTTCTTTCTTTTTAATATTTTTGTTTCTTTTCATTTTTCCTTTCTTTCTTTCTTCCTTATCTCCCTTTTCCATTCTTTCTTTCATTCTTCTTCTTTTATTCCTTTCTTTTCCTTTGATTTTTTTTCTTTTTGATTTCTTTCTTTCTTTCTTTCCTTCCTTCTTTCTTTTTTCTTTTTTTTTTTTTTTAATTTCCTCTTTTTCTTTTCATTTTTTTTTTCTTTTCTTTCTTCCTTATCTCCTTTTCCAAAATGTTTTCTTTTTTTCCTTTATTTTCCTTTCCTTTTAAAATTTCTTTTTTTCTTTTCTTTCCTTCCTGTCTTTTCTTTCTTTCTTTTTCTTTTTTAATTTCCTTTTGTTTATTTTCATTTTCGTCTTTTTTCTTTTCTTCCTTTTCCATTCTTTCTTTTCTTTTTTTTTTTTCGTCTTTCTTTTTTTCCTTTTTTTCCTTTGATGTTTTTTTTCTTTCTTGATTTCTTTTCTTTCTTTCTTTCCTTCCTGTCTTTTTTTCTTTTTTCTTTTTTAATTTGTTTGTTTCTTTCATTAATTTTTTATTTTCTTTCTTTCTGATTATCTCCTTTTCCATTCTTTTTCTTTTCCTTTCTTTCTTCTTTCGTCTCTTCTTTTATTCTCCTTTCTTCTCCTTTGATGTTTCTTTCTTTCTTGATTTCTTTCTTTCTTTCTTTCCTTCCTGTCTTTTTCTTCTTTCTTTTTTTAATTTTCTTTTCTTTCTTTCATTATTTTGATCTTTTTTTTTCTTCCGCTTATTCCTTTTCCATTCCAAATTTTTCTAAATTGCTTGTCTATCTTTCGTCATTTCTTTTATTCTCCTTTTTTCTCCTTTGATTTTTTTTTTCTTTCTTGATTTCTTTCTTTTTCTTTTCTTTCCTTCCTGTCTTTCTTTCTTTAGAAATGAAGTTTTTGATTTCTCTTGTTACTTTTTTATTTTGTCCTCTTTTTTTCTTCCTTATCTTCTTTTCCATTTTTTCTTTCTCCTTTCCTTCTTTTCTCTCAAGGGAATATGTCTTTCTTCCCCTTTTCTGTTCTTTTTTTCTTGATTTCTTTTCTTGATTTCTTTTCTATCTTTTAATTTCTTTTTTTAATTTCCGTTTCTTTCATTTTGTCTTATATTTCTTTCTTCCTTATCTCCTTTTCCATTATTCGACCTTTCTCATCTTCTTCTTTATTCTCTTCTTTTATTCTCCTTTTTTCTCCTTTGATTTTTCTTTTTCTTTTCTTGATTTTCTTTCTTTTTTCCTTCCTGTCTTTCCTTTCTTTCTTTTATTTTTAATTTCCTCTTGTTTTTTGAAAATTTTTCTTCTTTATTTTCTTCCCTTATCTCCTGTTTCCATTCTTTCTTTTGCCTCCTTCTTTTCGTTTTTCTTCTTTTATTCTCCTTTCATTCCTTTGATGTTTTAATTTCTTTTTGATTTCTTTCGGACTTTTTTCCTTCCTCTTCATTTCTTTTTTTCAACGTTTTTTTCTTTATTTCTTTCTTTTTTAATTTCCTCTTGTTTCATTTATATTATTCTCTTCTTTCTTCCTTACCTTCTTTTCCAATTCTTTCGTCTCTTCTTTTATTTCCTTTTTTCTCCTTTGATGTTTCTTTTCTTTCTTGATTTCTTTTCTTTCTGCCTCTTCTTCCTGTCTTTTCTTTTTCTTTCTTTTCGGTTTTTGATTTCCTCTTGTTACTTTTTATTTTGTCCTCTTTCTTTTCTTCCTTATTCCTTTTCCACTTCTTTCTTTCATTCCTCTTCCTTTTTTTCGGCCGTTTCTTTACGACCTTCTTTTCTGTTCTTTCTTTCTTGATTTCTAAACTTTTGATTCTTTCTTTTCTTTCCTTCCTTTCTTTCTTTCTTTTCTTTCAGAAAATCTTTTTAATTTTCTTGTTTCAAATTTTGTCTCTATGTTTCTTCCCTACATTTCCTTTTCCATTTTTCTTTTTCTCTCCTTCTTTTCGTCTCTTCTTTTATATATTTTTTTTTTCTCCTTTTTGATGTTTCTTTTGGTTTCTTGATTTCAAGTTTTCTTTCTTTCCTTCCTGTCTTTTTTTCTTTTCTTTCTTTGTTTTTGATTTCCTGGATCAATTTACTTTTATTTTGTCCTTTAAATTTAACTTCCCTTTATCTCCTTTTCCACCATTCTTTTCTTTCATTATTCTCCACCACTTTTTCGTCTCTTCTTTTCATTCTCCTTTCACCCCTTTTCTGTTCTTAGTTTATTTGATTTCTTTCTTGAAATCTTTGGTCTAGTGTTTTTTTCATTTTGTCTTCTTCCTTCTTCCCTTATCTCCTTTTCCATTCTTTCACCTCTCATCTCCTTCTTTCGTCTCTTTTTATTCTCCTTTTTCTCCCTTTGATTCGAACTTTCTTTCTCGATTTTTTTTCTTTTCTTTCAATTTCCTTCTTTCTTTCTTTCGAACTTTCTTTTAATTTCCTCTTGTTTCTTTTTTTTTTTCTTTCTTTCTTCCCTTTATCTCCTTTTCCATTCTTTCTTTTCCGATTTTTTTTTCGTCTCTTCTTTTTTATTCTCCTTTTCTTCTCCTTTTGATGTTTCTTTTCTTTTTCTTGATTTCTTTTCTTTCTTTCTTTCCTTCCTGTCTTTCTTTCTTTCTTTCTTTTTAATTTCCTCTTGTTTCTTTCATTTTGTCTTCTTTCTTTCTTCCCTTATCTCCTTTTCCATTCTTTCTTTCTCCTCTTCTTCTTTTCGTCTCTTCTTTTTATTCTCCTTTTTTCTCCTCCTTTGATGTTTTCCAGTTTTCTTGATTTCTTTGTTTCTTTCTTTCCTTCCTTCTTTCTTTTTCTTTCTTTTTTTTTATTTATTCTTGTTTCTTTATATTTTGTTTTCTTTTCTTTCTTTCTTTTATCTCCTTTTTCCATTCTTTCTTTCTTTCGGCCTTTTTCTTTCGAATCTCTTCTTTTATTCTCTTGAAGATCCTTGATGTTTCTTTAGTTTCTTGATTTCTTTCAATTTCTTTTTTTTCCTTCCTGTCAAAGCCTCGCATTCTTTTTTAGTTTCCTCTTGTTTCTTTCAATCCTGTCTTCTTTCTTTCTTCCCTTATTCCTTTTCCATCTTTTCTTTCTCCTCTTTTTCTTTTTTTGTTTCTTTTTATTCTCCTTTCTTCTCCTTTGATGTTTCTTTCTTTCTTGATTTTTTCTTTTTTTCTTTTCTTTCCTGTCTTTCTTTCTTTCTTTCTTTCTTTCTTTTTAATTTTCTTGTCTTCTTTCATTTTGTTTTCTTTTTTTTTTCCCTTATCTCCTTTTCCATTTCTTTTTTCTTTTCTTTTTTTTCGTTTTTTTTTTTATTTCCTTTTCTTTTGATGTTTTTCTTTTCTTTCTTGATTTCTTTCTTTCTTTTCTTCCTTCCTGTCTTTCTTTCTTTTTTTTCTTTTTAATTTCCTTTGTTTCTTTCATTTTGTCTTCTTTTCTTTCTTCCCTTATTCCTTTCCATTCTTTTCTTTCTCTTTTTCCCTTTCGTCTCTCTTTTTATTCTCCTGTTTCTTCTCCTTTGATGTTTTTTTTTCTTTCTTGATTTCTTTCTTTCTTTCTTTCCTTCTTTCACCTTTCTTTTCTTTTTTTTCAAATTTTTCTTGATTTCTTTTTTTCTAATTTTTTTTTCTTTTATTCTCCTTTTCTTTTTCCTCCGTTTTTCGCCATTTTTCTTGCTTCCTTTTTTTTCTTGGATCTTTTTTAATTTCTTTGATTTCTTTCAGTTTGAGGACCTTTCTTTCTTCCATTGAACCTTTCCATTCTTTCTTTATCCCTCTTCGGAACTTTCGTCTTTCTCATTTTGTCTTCTTCCTTTCCTTTCTTTTTTTTTTCTTTCCTTTGATGTCATTCTTTTCTTTGAGAAATTTCCTTTTTCTTCATTTTTATTTTGAACACAAAGGTTTCTTCTAAAATCTCTTTTCCATTTTTCTGGACTCCTCTCTTCTTTGTCTCTTTTTCAAATTCCCTTTCTTCTCCTTTGATGTTTTCTTTTCTGGACGGATTATTTTCTTTTCTTTCTTTCCTTCCTGTCTTTTCTTTTCTTTCTTTCTTTTTTTTAATACCCTCTTGTTTTTTCATTTTGTCTTCTTTCTTTCTTCCCTTATCTCCTTTTCCATTCTTTCTTTCTCCTCTTTTTCTTTTTTCGTCTTTTTTTATTTTCTTTCTTCCTTTTTCTTTTCTTGATTTCTTTTCTTTTCTTTTTCTTCTTCTTCTTTTTCTTTCTTTCTTTCTTTTAATTTCCTCTTTTTCTTTATTTTTCTTCTTTCTTTCTTTTCCTCTTCTCCTCCTCTTTCTTTTCTTCATTGTCTTCTTCTTTTATTCTCCTTCACTTTCTTTCCTTTGTCTTTCTTTTTTTGATTTCTTCTTCTTCTTTTTTCCTTTTCTTTCTTTTCTTTTTCCTTTTTTTTCTTTATTTTCTTTTCATTTTTGTTTCTTTCTCTTCGCCTTTTCCATTCTTTTCTTTCCTTCCTCTTCTTCTATTTTCTTCTTTTCCTTCTCCTTTCTTCTCCTTTGATGTTTTCTTTTCTTTGATTTCTTTCTTTCTTTTTCTTTTCCTTCTGTCTTTCTTTCTTTTCTTTTTCTTTCTTCTTTTAAATTTCCTCTTTTTTCTTTCATTTTGTCTTCTTTTTTTCCCTTTCTCCTTTTCCTTTCTTTCTCTCTTTCCTTCTTTCTTTTTCTTTTTTTTTATTCTCCTTTCTTCTTTCCTTTGATGTTTCTTTCTTTCTTGATTTCTTTCTTTTTTCTTTTTCCTTTTTTCTTTCTTTCTTTCTTTTTTTTATTTTTAAATTTCCTCTTGTTTTTTCATTTTGTCTCTTTTTCTTTTTTCCTTTTCCATTTCTCCTCTCCCTTTATCTCCTTTCTTTCCTTTGCTGTTTTCTTTTCTTTCTTGATTTCTTTCTTTCTTTTTCCTTCCTGTCTTTCTTTCTTTTTCTTTCTTTTATCTTTTAAATTTTCTTGGTTTTCTTTCTTTCTTCCCTTTTCATTCTTTTCTTTCTTTCTTCTTTCTTTCTTTCTCCTCTCGTCTTTTGATCCTTTTTCTTTCATTTTGATTTCTTTCTTTCTTTTCTTTCCTTCCTGTCTTTCTTTCTTTCTTTCTTTCTATCTTTTTTTAAATTTTTGTTTCTTTTCATTTTTTTCTCCTTCATTTTCTCTTCTTTTTCTTTTCTTTTTTTGATGTTTTTTTTTTCTTGATTTCTTTCTTTTTGTTCCTTTGTCTTTTCTTTCTTTCTTTCTTTTTCTTTTTTCTTTTCTTTCTTTCTTTTCTTTCATTTTCATTTTCTTTCTTGATCCCTTATCTCCTTTTTCCATTCTTTCTTTTTCTTTTTTTTTCTTTTCTTTTATTCTCCTTTCTTTATTTTGATGTTTCTTTTTTTTTCTTGATTTCTTTTTTCTTTTTTCTTTCTTTTCTTTTCTTTCTTTCTTTTTTTTTTTTTCTTTCTTTCTTTTCATTTTTTCTTTTTTTTCTTTTTCCCATCTCCTTTTCCATTCTTTCTTTTCTTTTTCTTCTTCTTTTCTCTTCTTTTTATTCTCCTTTTTTTCTCCTTTGATTTTTTTTTTTTTTGATTTCTTTCTTTCTTTCTGTATTTTGTCTTTCTTTCTTTCTTTATTTTTTTCCTTTTCTCTTGTTTTTCTTTCATTTTGTCTTCTTTCTTTTTCCTTTTATCTCCTTTTTCCATTCTTTTCTTCATTTTCTTCTTTCGTCTCTTCTTTCTTTCTCCTTTTTTCTCCTTTTGATTTTCTTTTTTGGTTTTCTTTCTTTTCTTTTTTTTCTTCCTTCCTGTCTTTCTTTTCTTTCTTTTTTTAATTTGTTTCTTTTCTATTTTTTCTTATTTTTTTTCTTTCCCTTTATCTCTTTTCCATTCTTTTTTTTCTCCTCTTCTTTCTTTTGTCTCTTCTTTTTATTTCCTTTTTCTTTTTATTTTGATTTCTTTCTTTCTTTCTTTCCTTTGTTTCTTTCTTTTTTTTTTTCTTTTTTAATTTCCTCTTTTTTTCTTTCATTTTCTTCTTTTCTTTTTTCATTTATTCCTTTTCCCATTCTTTTCTTTTCTGATTTTCTTTCTTTCGTCTCTTCTTTTTATTTCCTTTCTTTTTATTTTGATTTTCTTTCTTTCTTGATTTCTTTCTTTTTTCCTTTTCTTTTCTTTTTCTTTCTTTCTCTTTTTCTTTTCATTTTGTCTTCTTTTCTTTTTTCCATTTTTTTTTCTCCTCTTCTTCTTCGTCTTTCTTTTTATTCTCCTTTTTCTCCTTTGATGTTTCTTTTCTTTCTTGATTTCTTTCTTTTTCTTTTTTCCTTTGTCTTTCTTTCTTTCTTTTCTTTTTTTTAATTTCCTCTTGTTTCTTTTTATTTTGTCTTCTTTTTTTCTTTCTTCCCTTATTCCCTTTTCCATTTCTTCTTTTCTCTCTTCTTCTTTCGTCTCTTCTTTTATTCTCCTTTCTTTTCTCCTTTGATGTTTTTTTTTTCTTGATTTCTTTCTTTCTTTCTTTCTTTTTCTTTCTTTTTCTTTCTTTCTTTCTTTTCTATCTTTTTCTTTCTTTCTTTGTTTCTTTCATTTTGTCTTCTTTCTTTTTCTTCCCTTATCTCCTTTTCATTCTTTCTTTTCTCTTTTTCTTTTTCTCTCTTTCTTTTTTATTCTTCCTTTCTTTTCCTTGATTTTTCTTTTTTTTTCTTGATTTCTTTCTTTCTTTCTTTCCTTCCTGTCTTTCTTTCTTTCTTTCTTTCTTTTTTAATTTCCTCTTGTTTCTTTCATTTTGTCTTCTTTCTTTCTTCCCTTATTCCTTTTCTCCATTCTTTTCTTTCTCCCTTTCTTTCGTCTCTTCTTTTATTCTCCTTTCTTCTCCTTTGATGTTTCTTTCTTTCTTGATTTCTTTCTTTCTTTCTTTCCTTCCTGTCTTTCTTTCTTTCTTTCTTTTTAATTTCCTCTTGTTTCTTTCATTTTGTCTTCTTTCTTTCTTCCCTTATCTCCTTTTCCATTCTTTCTTTCTCCTCTTCTTCTTTCGTCTCTTCTTTTATTCTCCTTTCTTCTCCTTTGATGTTTCTTTCTTTCTTGATTTCTTTCTTTCTTTCTTTCCTTCCTGTCTTTCTTTCTTTCTTTCTTTCTATCTTTTAAATTTCCTCTTGTTTCTTTCATTTTGTCTTCTTTCTTTCTTCCCTTATCTCCTTTTCCATTCTTTCTTTCTCCTCTCCTTCTTTTTTTTTCTCTTCTTCTTTATTCCTTTTCTTCTCGTTTGATTTTTTTTTTTTCTTGATTTCTTTCTTTCTTTCTTTCCTTCCTGTCTTTTCTTTTCTTTTTTCTTTCTTTCTATCTTTTAAATTTCCTCTTTGTTTCTTTTTCATTTTGTCTTCTTTCTTTCTTCCCTTATCTCCTTTTCCATTCTTTCTTTCTCCTCTCCTCTTTCGTCTCTTCTTTTATTCTCCTTTCTTCTCCTTTGATGTTTCTTTCTTTCTTGATTTCTTTCTTTCTTTCCTTCCTGTCTTTTCTTTCTTTCTTTCTTTTCTTTTCTATCTTTTAAATTTCCTCTTGTTTCTTTTCTATTTGTCTTCTTTCTTTCTTCCCTTATCTCCTTTTTCCATTCTTTCTTTCTCCCTCTCTTCTTTGTCTCTTTCTTTTTATTCTCCTTTCTTCTCCTTTGATGTTTCTTTCTTTCTTGATTTCTTTCTTTCTTTCCTTCCTTCTTTCTTTCTTTCTTTCTTTCTTTCTATCTTTTTAATTTCCTCTTGTTTCTTTCATTTTGTCTTCTTTCTTTCTTCCCTTATCTCCTTTTCCATTCTTTCTTTCTCCTCTCCTTCTTTCGTCTCTTCTTTTATTCTCCTTTCTTCTCCTTTGATGTTTCTTTCTTTCTTGATTTCTTTCTTTCTTTCTTTCCTTCCTGTCTTTCTTTCTTTCTTTCTTTTAAATTTCCTCTTGTTTCTTTCATTTTGTCTTCTTTCTTTCTTCCCTTATCTCCCTTTCCATTCTTTTTTTCTCCTCTTCTTCTTTCGTCTCTGCTTTCATTCTCCTCTCATTTCTTTTTCTGTTCTGTTCTTTCTTTCTTTTCTCATTGAATGTCCTTTTCCCTCGATCAAAACGGAATAGTCCATTATTTATAAGGTCCGGACAGGAAAAATTAAAGACTTCTTTCTTTCTTTACTGGAAAGAGGAGAAAAGACACTACTTTCTACTCCCTCACTGAAACTAAGTAGTGTATTTTCTCCACTTTCCACGCGATTAAAACGGAACAGTTTATTATTTATGCGGTATTGGCAGGGCATAACGGTCGTGCGAACTAACGAAAGGCGGGACAAGCATAATTCTAATAGGATTCATTCGGCAAATTTCTATTTTCTATTTTTCACCTCTTTAAATAATTCAGTTTAATTTTAAGAAAACTTAATTATTTTTTTTACTTGTTCAGTTAATAACGTAACTTTTCTACGGTTCCGTTCAAATAATTTGTAGTAATGTGAAATAACAGACGACAACATTGCTTATTATGAATGTCTTTCTAGCTTACAGATGAATTTTGACAAACCAGATATAAATACATTATAACGACCGAAGCATTGCTTACATGTGAGAATTTTTAAAATTAAAATTAAGAATAAGTCAGAGATTAAATATTTATCAAAAAATGCTGTTAAAGATTGTTATACAAATAAGTTTTACCACTTAAGTTATAAACGGCATTTTTTAGCAATATGTACTCCTTGTCAAATTCGACATGGTACAATAGTTAGCTAGCTAGATCAATTACAACTGAATAGTGAGTTTGATCCTCACAGGGTACCCTATACTTTCGGCTTTGTGCCGCTTAGGAAATCATTGCTTACCTCGAGGCGGTGTAATAGTTAACAATCTTGTCTCGCTAGAACAATTACGACTGAGTAGTGAGTTCGATCCTCCAAGCGACCCCTACTTTCGGCCTTGTGCCACACGTAAGCTACACTTGGAAAAACACTCTACTGCTAGCCAAAATCTTAAGGCCAAAGAAAAAATATATCTTTTGCGTTCATAGACTCAACCACATATTTGAGGAGAGCTTTGAAAAATGAAAGTAAAAGAAAAAGAAAAGTTAAAAATTTTTTATATCATTTAATAAAATTAAAAATTTGAATACTGGGAAATTAGGTTAAATACTAACTAATTAAAAGTTTAAGACCAAATTTAAAAGAAGTCTTAACACGCAACGATGTTTAGTCATTTTTATCCAAGCTTTAGCGCAGTCATCATCTCCCACTGGTATCTCTTGCGTTACGTTAGATCAAAAAAAAAAAAAAAAAAAAAAAGGCTAAATCTTACAGTATTTGCATTGTTCGGACTGTTGTCCTCATCATTATTGTCATATTCACGACATTTCCACCGTTGTGATACAAGCTGGAATTTTGAACCGAACCCCTTATTTAGTCCACTGGGGTAGAATATGCTAGTTCCACGTCCCTGGCTTTTTCTGTATATCTCAGTTTCAGTTATTTCCCTTTAGAAATTCAAGTTCGTTTTTTTTTTTTTTGTTGATCTCTACTGTGGCCAGGTATTGAACTTACAGCTCTTTGGGTCAAATCACTGGATAAAATTCAAACAAACTCTTTTATCAACTGGACCATATAACTAAAGGTAAATAAATGAACTGGGATATCTAAAATAAAAGGGTACAGTCCGAAATTCCAACGTATACACCTGAAGAAGGCCGAGACGTACAACGGCCGAAACGTCGTGATTGTTGCAATGAGGGTGAGGACAAGCGTCCGACCAATGTAAATAATGTAAATAATTGCAATACCTCATCTCAGAAATATAGACAGACTACCAGCATGGCCCGGCGTTGCCCGTGCTTGATTCACAAATCCTACGATTCATACAGCAATCACTATCACTTGACTTAAAATATTTTTGCTCTTCCTTGCCTATAAAGGAGTGTCCTTTGCCGTGCTGGTGTTGCTACATGCCTTACTTCTTGCCTATCTCACACTGCGACTTTTTTTCTAAGCTCTATACTAAACATTAAATCTGTTACGAAAAAAGAACTAAACAAAATGAACACAAAACGATCAACTTTAAAAAAGGACTCGTAACTGGAAAAACGGAATGAAAAAAGAATGTTAACAACAAATACTTTTTCACACCCGACCCAGTTCTGCGGAATCAGAATCAACGTCGAGTTTAATCAGGCGAATGAGCCAATTGGAGTAAAGTGCCATGC